GAAAGCATTTGTCCATCTGTTCTGTAATGATGCAGCTCGCTGGTGGCTATATAGAAGTTGGTTGTCTGCCATTTGGGCATGCAGTCGCTTTTAAAAATGCATAGAAGTCTCATGGTATCAGAAAGTCAGACAATTTGTGAGCTAATTAAATCAAGCGAGAGCTACGCATCACAAGATGTAATCTCTGACTGGCGCGTAGAGTGTGTTTTTATTGAGAGCTGCGCACTTCAGCAGAGGACACCGTATACACAGCATCTTAGCAGAAACATTGCTGTAGTGTGCAAATCCTATAAAGCAAATAAGTAGCACGAGGCCAGATGTGTTGAATGTTACCAATTGTGAATGTCAACTTCAGAAACTTAAGCCAGCAGCTAGAAAAAGATGTCTTATTTCTGTCCTTCCCGCATCAAGAAATAGCATTGTCCCTAAAGATGCCAGTCACACACACTGGAGGCCAGAAATGATTGCGTTAAAGCAGATCCCATAAATAATGAATGATCTCCAATTCATTGCTTTTCTTTCTTCTCCTAATGCTGCCAGCAAATGTGGAGCCACTGAGACCCAGGAGAGGGAATGTTTTTTGCCAGACCATCCTCCGCTAATTATGTTAAACTCTTATTGATGCTCAGTCAGAATGGAGGAGCAGATCAATGGGCCTATGATAATTTATACAGCTACGGATCTGTCCCTGAAGGTGTCACTGCGTAGAAAGTGCTGAGGACTTGGACAAAGTAATGAGGCTCCTCAACTCCCACTCAAGTGAATGGAAATTAGAAGGAGAAATAAAGGAATGTTAAGGCACTGGAAACCCAGGTGCAATTCCCTGTTCCTCCAGAGGCTGTCTGTGTGATCATGGGCAAGTCACTGAGCCTCTCTGTGCCTCCGCTTCCCATCTGTGAAATGGGCATATTGGCACTTCCCTACTTCACAGCAGTGTTGTGAGGATAAATACATTAAAGATGGTGTGGTGCACATTTACTGCAATGATGCAAGCCAGACAAATACGTATAATAAATAGGGTGCTCAATGCGTTGGAGAATCAGTACATAAAGATGATTTGAAACAAGTCTATTTGATTTCTTTTGGCTGCAGCAACGCTTTACATCTCTTGGGGACCAAACTCTCTCTTCAATAGGGTTGGAGGCATTCAAGATCCAATTTTTTTTTAAACATTTGGATTGGCTACATTATATCTTTCGTAATTGCAGTGCCACTGCTACTCACTTAGCAGTTCCATTGTTTCAAATCCTGTTATTGTTTCTTTCTCTTTGCTGAAAGTGTTCTGTATTTGGTAAAACTACAGTCTGAGGAGGGGAAGGACTGGGATGAAGAAATAGATTCTCCAGAACATTTTCAGATTAAAGTTGAAATGCAATGCTACAGTACTAAGAAATGGGAGCCAGCTAGTGTAGTGGTAGCAGCAGGAGACCTGGGTTCTGTCTTCAGCTCTGCACACAAACTTGTTGTGACACTTGGGCAAATAATTTAATCAGCTCGTGACTCAGTTTCCCCATCTGTAAAGCAGAGTTATTATTATCCAAGCACTGGAAAGCATTTGGAGATTTTTGGTATAAACGTACTGCAAGGGTGCAAATGTTGCTACTAATAAATACTTAGCATAAAAAAAAAGTTCCAGTTCCAGTGTACTGACATAATACACTGGTATTTATTATGCACCTTTTGGCACCACATAAATAATAACTCTTAAATAAAATTATAAATAGTGTATTGGAAAATGGCTAGTTATCCCATATTAAAATAAATAAACCCCAACATCTTATAGTAATTGTTCAAAACACTACTAGTTGTAATAATGTTGCTACAGTATTTTGGATGGTTACTATAGAATCCTTCAGTATTTCCATAGCGGACACCAAAGCCTGTAATTGAGCTGGATGTGTGTTTAATGCTACTTTATCATTCACTTACATTATTCACAATGTGAAATCTTGAAAAGTGAATGGAAACATTTTTTATGGGAACTGGGTAAAGGAGTTGGGAGATGTTCTCTAGCCATTGGTGAATCTGTTGTATGTGTGTGTGTAGGAGGGGGCACTTAAAAATCTGAATGAATCGCATGAGGGGACAGTGAAAAATCAGGTGTTGGATACGTGGTGAGGCAGGGCCAGCTCCAGGCATCAGCCTGGCAAGCAGGTGCTTGGGGCGGCCGCTCCAGAGAGGGGCGGCAGGTCCAGCTATTCAGCGGCAATTCGGCGGACAGTCCCTCACTCCTGCTCGGAGTGAAGGACCTCCCGCTGAATTGCCGCCGCAGATCGCGATCGCAGCTTTTTTTTTCTTTCTTTTTTTTTTTTTGGCTGCTTGGGGAGGCCAAAACCCTGGAACCGGCCCTGTGGTGAGGACAGGGAGAAGACAGCAAAGGAAGGAGAAAATATCAGTGGGCGGAGAGGCACTGGATATGATGCAAGGTGTTATGGTAAGTTTAGTATGGGAGGAAGGAGAAAATTCTTCACATCTAGTAAGGCAAATCCTGGGAAAGGAGGGCAAGATGGATGGATGGGGAGGACGAGGAAGCTGTCATAGAATCATAACACTGGAAGGAACCTCAAGAGGTCATCTAGTCCAGTCCCTGCACTCATGGCAGGACTAAGTATTATCTAGCCACTCATAGTCATTGGAACAAGGTAGAACATGGCAGAAAGGGAGGAGACTGGGTAAGAGGGGCCATCAAAGGGATGGGGGGGGGCTAAAACCAGGCAGTTTCAGATTAAGCATGATGCTTGGATTTTTGCCAGGCCCTGTGGTTTGAGGGCAGCCTCCTGCAGCATTGGGTCTGAGCAGCAGGCAGCACAGCACACGGTTGATTGCTACTGGCTGGGCACCTGTGGCTAGAAGAGGACCCAATGCACCACGGTGCCCTCAACCCCTCATCAAACATTGGTGAGGTCTGACAGAAGGCAGTAGGCAAGCAGTAGCAGAGGGTACAGATCTTCCAGATCTTTCCCTTCCCTCTTTTAGGTTCTGATTCAGTAAGACCCTTAAGCATGTGTCTAACTTTAAACACATGAGTTGTCCCATTGAATTCAATGTTAGGCACATACTTAAGTCCTTTCTGAACTGGGCTCTGAAGTCAACAGGAATCCTTCCAATGGGGTTTGGATCAGGCCCTTGGTGCCTTAGACTGTAAGCATTTCAGAGCAGGGATTGTCATGGGGCACAATGGGGCCCCAGCTTGATTGAGGTGTCTCAGTGTTAAATAACAGAAGAGGCACATGTAATGAGAGGTTGAATAACATTATTCAGGAAGACTTGGGGAGGCTTAGAAGACAAAGGATTTCCTACTGTAGGGGGGATCTTTGGTGCGTAGGTGTAACAGGCTAGCAATGTTACCTGGTCCTGTTAATATTTGTTGGCTGTGCTCGGAAAGGATTGAGTGGGTTTTCCTGATTCACAGAGCCAAGTGGCTGATTACCCCACCTGGATATAAGAGAAGTGGGAGCAGCTTGAGCAGAGAGAATGTAAGGTAAGGTGAGGGCTGAGCAGCCCTGAAGTGGGAGCTCGAGAAGCAGCCAGACCTGGAAAGAAAGCTTGAGGGGAACCTTATGTTATTGTAAATGTATTTGTTAAGACAAAATCCCAGAAGAGAACGGCGCAAGAAGAGACTTAACCAGCATGTGGGCTTAAATGGACTACCTGTTCACAGGAGTCACTGTATTTTCTTTTTAGGATCTTTAGCAGTTTATTATTTTCTAACTTTTGGCAATTTGCAATCTTTCAGAAACAGGCTGCATATCTATAATTGTCTGGGTAAAATAAAGTAACACGAATAACAAACATGCATTATACACCTACCTGCCTTCAAAAATTCACTGAGAAAACAACAAAGCAATCTGCTGCCAACAACACCCACCTAACTAACTAGCTCGTTTTACTCTTCAGAATACATTCTCCTTGCCACAACACCTTATTCGTGCAATGTGGGGAGCCTGGGCTCTCAGCTCCCCACATTGCACCTCTTAGGTCAGTGGAAGTGCTCCTGGTGAGGACACACACCACAGACCCAAAGAGATTAGTGTGGACATGCACCACTGCAATAAATATTGTGGTGGCTATAATTACCTAATATAGGCCGACTTACGATTCTAGTGTAGACATACCTTAAGGCATAATGTTCCAGTTTACTACCAGCAACAGGTTTTAAATCTTCTCTCCTCACCTAGATTAAATGAAGTCTGTGGTCTCAATCCAATTGCAACTTGGCAAGCGTCCCCATGACACAAACTACCAGCAGAGCTGGCAGCCTCCACAGAGAAGCTGAAGGCATGGAGAGTGAAAGTGAACTATCCTTCTATTCCTAGAAGAGGTTCCTCCAGGTCAGGTTTGAAGCCTGGGGAAGCTGGCACTGTTCCTGCCTGTGCTGATATCGTCTTGTGGATAGAGACACGCTCCGTCTTCAGGAGTCTCAGTTTGGGCACACTCTAAACTCCAAATTCTCTGAGATTTGTCAGTGCATTCCCCTGCAACCCTAGCTGTAATGAAGTACATTGAGAGCTGGTCACCATTTTTCAAACTGAAAAATGGCCTTTTCGCCAAAAATACACATTTCTTTTTTAAAAATCAAATTTTCCAAAATTTCAAGTTATTTTAATGAAAACTTCTATTTTTCACCCAATTTCCTGTTTCTTTCCTCTTTTCTCATTCTTTTTCTTTAAAATAAGTGGGTGAGGGAAGAAAAAAATCAGAACACCAAAAAATATGGATAAAAGTTCACAATTTTTTTTTTGAAAAATAAATTAGTTTCAAATACTTCCAAATGAAAACATTTTAACATTTTTGCAATTTCTCCCCATTTTTTTATCAGTTTGATGAATTCCTTGAAGAGAAGCTTAGTTCTTGTTCTATTATTGCATTGCACCACAAAGGCCTTTGATACATTTATCTTAAATTTTAAATGTCATATCTATTGCATTATATCCTAATGCATCAGGCACAATCATTAACGGCAAAGGAACCTGGGGAGTGGCAGGGTTGAGTATATGTACCTTGTACCCGGGTTTTCTTCCTCTCTTCTTTGGGATCTTCACTACTGGCAAGGAACCAGACGGCGCTGAATAGAGATTGTGAACAGCCATTTTCATCGGAGTAGAATGGAGTGGGGGTCTTCCTCGTTTTCTACCAGGTATTCTTGGAGACTGCATGTCAACAGTATCCAGTCTTGGAGGCAGCGAGGACAAGTGACTCATATGCAGAGGAGCTACAAATCAACAAACAACAACAAAAAACACCAAGCATTTTTTGTTGTTTACATTGAAAATAATTTTTCAAACCCTGCGAAAGCCACAGCAATTTTTTCACTTTATTATTTTGTCTTACTGCAACCCTTACTCGGACAAGTTGTGCCACTGACTTGAAATGGGACTACCTGATGTGCAAGAACTACTTCCAGGAGTAAAGGGTGTAAGATTGGGGCTGAGGGTTGTATGTTAAAGAAAGGCAATTTCCCACTATTATAGTTAAATATTTACTCTCTACAGTTTTTCTAGCATCTGTTACTGAACTACAATAAGCAGGTTTTTGTCACCGTGCTCTGTCACTCCCCACAACTCCATGAAGCTGATGGAGTTGAATAGGTTTAATGGAGCAGAATCTAGCCCATTTTCTCCCATTCAGCTTTTAATAAACAAAGTAAGTGTACAAACATATGCAAAATATTGAGGGAATAAAAAAGATTCTTCACCGCTTCTGGCAAAAAAACACTAACGAAAGATGTGAAAACCCAACAAAAAAATTGAATTTTCATATATTTGTCTGTCCAGCCATTTGTTTTTCTGGACTACAAATCCAAGTCCCATTCCTCCCATTACTAGTTAGTAATGCAGTGTTGCCAACTCTTGTGATTTTACCATGATTCTCATAATACCTGCTGGTTTTCTTAAAGCCCCACTCCCTGAGGCAAGTGATAAAATGAGAATCCCAGCTTTCATTGTTAAAAATATATTTCTAGCCTTCATGGTAGCAGAGAAAAGCTTGAAAATATGCTCCAAGCGCATGGCTAGGAAAGCAGAAGGCAATTAAAAAGAACCCCTCCCAAATTATTTTAAAAAATCTCGTGATTTTGGGGACCTGGTTCATGATTTGAATGGTTATGTCTGACAATGTAGTACTGTAGACCCACTTACTTCAATTGGATTATTCACAATAGTGAACAGTATGCCTGATAATAAGTGTTTGCAAGAGTAGGACTTGGACTCAATATATCATGGAAGTTAAAAAATATTTTGCCTAATCAAAAGGTTTGACAAACAAGACTCAAATTTCTGCATTTATTTGTACTTTTTTTTGTTGCTGTTTATTACTGGATCAGAAAAACAAAAAGCCCCCAACACCACACAAAAATATATTTATTTTAAACATGTTAATGACAATCTTTTAATAAAATGATGGGGACTTGCTCAGCTTGAACAGACCCACGAGGTATTGTAAGATTTGCAGACCAGTTAACAAGTCATTAGTGCTTAACACCAGCTGCCCAACACTCTCAAGCAAATGGTAGATGCCTCACACCAGAGCAAAGCAAATGCTGTATGATAAATATACAGTGTTTAATACAGAGTGGCCAGGGATGGTGTAGTTAGGCTCCCTAGATGAACAATGCTAACTCAGGAGCTATGTGGAAACCCAATGTGTAAATCTTATCTTCACACAAAGTGAAAGTCTCTGTATATGCAGGTTGTTCTTGCACAGATTTTGGGTTAACAGCAGCAGGTTGAACACAGTGTGAGTCAAATGGAACAGTTCTGTGTAGCTTGAGCACCACAGCTTCTTTCCTTCCTTCTTACACAGTGTATTTTTTTTTACTGTGATACTTTCTGAATGATGCCGTCTGATCCTCTACTGCCAGCCAAAACAAAAATTCTTCTTGAGATTTCAGATCATCTTAGAACAAGGTGGTTTCCAAGGAAAGGAAACAGAAGATGAAGCATATCAACATTCTGGGTGTGACTCATAGACACAGACATAAACATTTGGCACAAAAAAGTTAGTTTTTTCTTTTTAGTTTGCTTTTTGTAAGGACTGAAAAAATAATACTTCACAGAGGAGATGCTCAGGCAATTAGAAACCTAAAGTAGCACGGGTTTGTACATTGCATATGTATTTGTTCATTTATGGGAAAGGACAAAATGACAGGGAATAAGGGCCTGATCCAAAACCTATTGAAGTCAATGGAGAGACTCCATGAGCCAATGGGAAGATGCCCATAGGGAGTCTTTCCTTTGAATTCACTGGGCTTTGGATTAGCCCTTACATCCCCGCTCCAACCTTTGCACTCCAACCTTTGTCTTCTATTTGAATACAAAACGCTGTTTGGTGGACGTCTGATACAGCAATAACCTGTTCAATTAAGTTACAGTCCATGTATGTATCACCTGGAGTGAATGCAAATGACGAGCTGACATTTTAAAGGAATAAACCTCTTAAGTGACAAAAAACATGTGAATGGATTCAGGTAACAATAAGCCAGTACAGTCAATATGATTCAAAGAAACCTTTCTTACATGACTATATTGAGTACATTCAGAGAACAAATTGACTTTGTAAGTCAAAGGATCCTCACTATTGAACTTTTTCTGTATTTATCTACCTACCTTAAGCATTTCTAAAGCTCCTAGCACTGTTGTTTCTAGGACCCAAGCAGTAAAGTGCAATAGGGTGTTCCACACAAGGCATAACCAAATGGCAGGGTATGCAATTATACAAGTGGGTCATCTTGACAACACCACTTTGTATGTTTTTGTACAGTATGTACATGTGCCTGCCCCTGGTGCATTGCCATGAAATCCATCACCAAGAACCTCGCTCTAAAGCCCAGGTGTTGATAGAACTCCCTCTCGCTTCTATGTTCAGATCACAAATTCCTTAACAACAACTGAAAATACAATTGCTCTAAGCCATCCCCTGGAATACTATTACACTATCACATCAAGAGTCTATTTTATTGAAGTTAGTTTTATGAAGCATAAAGTTCCCTGAGCACAGGCCTAGGAACTGGCAAGTGGAGAAAAGATGGTGGGGAAAGGAATGTGCTGCTGGGGCAATGAACATACTAAAAGTGTGCTAGTCTGAGACGGACTTTATTTCCAGTGTTTGATTTTCAGACACCAAAAGCATAATAAACCAAAACCAACCACACAAGCTAAAGCTGCCAATGAAAATAACATACACGTAGGAAGGAGGTTAGGACAGATGAGCTGAAACCGCTGGACAGATGACAGTGACTACTGTCTCTGAACCTCAGTGGCTTTCTTATCACAAAGCCACTTCCTGTTCTCAAAAAAGCGCCTTTTGCAATGGCCTGAGGGGAACGTGCCTCATGGAACCTGTGTCTGCTGCTCTGTGTGTTTTACTTTGTCAGTGTCTGGGTGGGCGCACGTCACTTCCTCATGATCCAAGCATTGTAAATAGAATTCTGAATGTCCTCAAGAAACAGGGAAGCAGTGTCTTCTTTGGTTTTGTTTAGTGATTTCTATTCCTTCTGTGGGAGTGACCCACAGAAGCCGCTATGACATAAGCCCTTGGTGTGGATGATATAACTGTTTCTTAGGAAGCTTGCCAGCTTCTTTCTGTTTGAATTCTAAGATTCTCTTCTGCTTGCAATGGCAATAACTCTGACATTCTTGCTATACTATTTCTTCTGTTCTAGATTCCTTGTGCATAGTTCTTGTGTAATTACTACAGTGTCAATTATCTTATGCCCGAGAAGCACATCAAACATTGGCAATAAAGTTTTTGTCCTCTGCCCATGAGACTATGAACTAATGATCTCTTGACTCTGCCAGGGCTTTTTAAAAATCAAGATTTTTGATGTTTGTACTGGCTTCCCTGCTAACCTATTTGACTGTGCACACCAAGGTCTTTTATTTGAACTGATGCACCAAAACCAAAAGCTCATCTACTGTATAAATACATTATGATTACTACATTTAATTGCAAAGATGACCAACAATCTGATTCCTCTGAAGTGGGCTGTAGTCCACGAAAGCTTATGCTCTAATAAATTTGTTAGTCTCTAAGGTGCCACAAGTACTCCTGTTCTTCTTTTTGCGGATACAGACTAACACGGCTGCTACTCTGAAATATCTCATTTACATTAGTATAAATCAAGAGCATCTCTACTGAAGTCAGTTGTCGTACAGTGATGTAAAACTGGTGTTAAAGAAGAATCAGGTCCTCTCTTCTTTGTATTATTTAATGTATTTAAATTTAAATAGCAATATTTTTTAAAGCCCATATGAAAAGCTCTAGCCACCTTAACAGTTCATTAGATTTACAATCACAACAACCAGCTGCAAAAATAATCAGATACAAATTATTCCAATTAAATGCAGCAAATGCCGTTAATATAATGCTGAAGTTTTGCTTTGAGATTTTAAAGGTACTTTGCTCCTTTGTCATGGCACATTTCCTCATCTTTTAGACAATTCCAGCTCAACAATTTTATGGTGGTTTTTTTTTAAATTGAAAATCTCAAAATTAAAACAATATGCACCTGGCCCAGTTCTGATCTCACTTTATTCCAGTTTTACACCAGTGTGACTCCACTGAGATCAACTGAACTATTCCTGAGAGTCACTGGTGTATATGAATCAGAATCAGGTCCGATGCTTCTGTTGAGCTTTATTTGTATTCTCTCGGGGGGGGGGGGGCGGAGGAGAGGCCTTCTTTGTCCTATAGGCACTGATGAAGGCATTGATAAACCAGGGATCTCCAATTACAGAAAAGAAAATAGCTCTCTCTAATATGGAAAAATACAGGCCCATTGAAGTCAGTGAAAGTTTGGTCATTGATGTCCATCGGGCTGGAGTTTCACCCTGACCATGCAATGCCTACAAGGGCTTATCTTTTATCACTGGTAGTTTTCTTTTTCTTCTCTTTGATTTGATCAAACCCCTCCTTGGCTTCCACAATTTGGAAGCCCACACAAGACAATGCAAGTGTTGGAACTAGCAGTCCATTTTCATGGTCTTCAGTAGATCATTGTCCCTGTGATGGAGGGACCAGCTCCCCTTCCTTTCTAAAGTCCATCCACTAGATCCAAACACAGGCCTCGCACTCTAACATATTGTATGATCAAAGCCGGTAAGGGAGAAGGAAATGCCATTCAAATGCAGCCTCCTGGCATAGCTTTTTCCTGTGTTATTCTTCCAGAGTGAAAAGTTCCTGTGGAGAGTCAGAAACTTGATCTGCTGGAGATCA